TTGTGCATAAATTAATCTTCCTCAAATTTTAAAATACCAACCATAAATAAAAATATATATAAACTTAAATTAAAATTGCAAAATAATCCCTCAAATATATTTAATTTTCCACACAATAAACCAAATCCCAAAACTCATTCACTGCAACAAAAAAAAAGTTTCAGGTCACTCCTCACAGCATTCCCCCAGCCGTACGAGCCGCCGCCGGCGGCGGTGAACCGCCTTGTCGCCGGATGCCACGTCATTGCTTCGCCGAGCCGGTGTTACGTCAGCAGCAAATTTGTAGAGGTCCCGTCGGCCATTCCCGGTGGACATTCTCGACTCGCGACTAAGCGCGGAGATGGTGGATACGGCTGAGAGCGGAGAAGGCGGAGCTACGCCGGGCTGTTGAGGGCCGGCTGTGGTGGAGACAATATCGCCGGTGGAGCTACTGCGTGCTATTGGTGACCGGATGTGATAGAGACGACATCTCCGGCGAATATGTGCCAAGCTGATGAGGACCTGGCGGCGAGACGACGTATGAGCTGTAGACGACGACAGTAGCGACGACGGTGGAAATCCGACACAATTTTTCCAGCGAGATGGTGAGATAGTAACAGTTAGGGGACGATGTGGCTGTTTTCGGCGGAGGTCAGGGACGACGAGTGGCGATTCTGCTGTGGGCGCGGCGGTGAGTGTGGCGGCGAGTGGGTGGTCCGAGGATGAAAATCGTGTGTGTGTGTGTGTTCTGTAATGTGTGTGTGTGTGTGGAAGATAATGAGGGAGGGGTAGGTTGGGGATGACACGACAATTGGGGAAAATTTAATGTGGTGGGTAGTGGTGGGTCCCATAGCTAGTGAATTTGAATTAAATGTCCACATTACCCTTAATTATTGGTCAAATACACATATTTGACCCACTATGATCAAATAATTACCACATTGCCATTAATGATTGACCATAATATGACTTCATCATAACCATTGATATGGTTAATCTCATGGTCCACACTTATTCTTATTTCTTTCACTATCTATCATTCTCATATGATCCTAATTCTATATATATATATATATATGGTTGGGTTCAAGTGAGAATGGTGCTCTAGGAAAGAAATAAGAATAAATTGTGACCATTAGATCATTCGATCTAATGGTTAAAATAAAAGTTAAAATTATACTACCATGAAGGATATTTTAGGTATTATATATATATCTGTCTGTAGCCCCACGTCAACTACGAAACCACCTCTTGATTACTGCCAGTCAAAGCACTAACCTCTTTACCACTACTATACTCACCTGTCACCACGTCACCCTCACCCATCCCCCCTTCCCACACACATTTCTCTCACTCATTGTTCACAAAAAAAAAAAAATCCATCCACGCCGGTCACCACACAGCGCCGCCGTCTGCCGCCTATAGCCGCCGACGCCGCGCCCCAGCAACCTACCACCCGTCGAGAGGTACAGGTCCCCAGCCGCCATACCGTCAAAAAGTCCGCCGCATACACACACACACACACACACGCACGCAGCGACTCACATCCCGTAAACCACCGCCCGTCGCCTCCGATAGGCACCTCACCCCGGTGCACCACCAGCGACTCCCACAGCCACCGCCATGTACCGCCGCACACAACCGCCTCTCGCCATGCAATCGTCGCACATTCCAGCCCGTCGTCCGTGCCGCCACCAAATACCTCCGCCTTCCTCGCCGCCATATCCGCCCGTCCAGACGCCGTCTTCCGTGGCCGTCGGTCGGCGCCGGAAAAGCAGCTAACAACCTCAAAATTTCTGAAAATTGAGTGTTGGAGAAGGTCGAAAAAACCCTATTCCGTTCTGTCCATGGGTCAAAAAGCTTTGACAATCTTAAGTGCTCCGGCAACGATGGTGGGCGAGGACAACGCAAAGGCGAGTGTCAGATCAGTTGCGTAATTGGGTGACCGGTCGGCAAGTCGAGGACATCGAGTTCATTTTGTTTGGTTTGGGACCGATTTTGGAGATCCCGCCGGACGCCGACTGAAGCACCGCCGTCCACGCGGCAATCTATAAGGGTGGTCGACGGCGACTGGGGGTACGATAACGGATAGAGACAGGCTGCAAAAGATTGAAGGGGGTTGTGTTATAAAAAATTTGATACTTTTAAGGGACATGGTTGCAATTTTATAAAATTTGATTATTTTCACTTTAGTCCATGTGACAAAACTGTAATGTGTAACAACTAATAAAAGAATATTTAATTAAAATAATAAATTTGTCAATATTATGGATTTTAAAAATAACATGAGTGTAGACTGCACAATACGGATATACCAAATACATAAAAATTATTTGTTTTACATAAATATATTTAGAAATATATACTATTTTTTAAGTCATAAAATAATATAAAATATTAAATAAAATCTAAATACTAAATTTTACATAATTAATAAATAAATTTGATTATTTAGGTACATAAAAATACTGCATTGCACGTTAGTGACGGTCGGAATGCACAACATTGTTAAACTAAATGCACATTAATCCATAAGATAATGCACATTATCAAATTGGTGTGCATTTTTTCATATATATTAAAATTTTAGTTTGTTATGTCCGGTTTCAACTTTAATTTTAAAAGAAAAAAAAAATAACATAAATGACCTGGATCAGCTTTAATATTTTCAAAGATAAATGTTTGGACTTGGAAAAGCTACTAAATATGAAGGTTCTTCTGAAGATGTTATCATAAATTACTTCAAGAAAATTATGCATTCTTTATTGGTTGTTGGGGAATTTATGATAGTTACATGACGGTAATGCACTGATGGCAATAGAATATCACTAGTTGATAAGCAAATATTAACACGGTAACACCGCAGACTTGTGGGATGCATAGGATATCTGAATTCTGTTTCTTGGAAATGCTTTGGCTTTTGCAGTATATATACTTAGTTCTTTATTTGCATTCATCTGTTCAATTGAGTGAAAAAATGTATTTGAAGATACTTGAAATATATAAAAAATTATATTTTTTATATCATATATATATATATATATTTTTTTATTTCTAAAAAAATATAAAGTGCTAAATAAAAAATATAAATATTAAATATATTTTTAGCATATAAATAAATCAATAAGTGCACAATAGTGTTACTTGAAATTACACATTATTAAATTATTCTAAAATTGAAATGGAAATAAAAATACCCAGCTCAATCAATTGCACAATAATACTAGACAAAGTGCACATTATTATCTATGGAAATGCACAACGTTAAATTTGGTGTTTCATATATTATGTATTTACAATAAAAAATAATGCAAGAATATCTAATAAAATAATTCAGTTATTAAATAATTTTTATTATATAAAAAATTTATTTATAATAATTATGGTAATTTGGTTAATCGGCCAAATAAAAAATTTATTTTAGTTCAGTTTTTAATTTGGTTGGGCAAAAGTTCAATTTGTGCAGACGCACAATAGCGACTGAAACACAGCACATTAGTGTTAGACATATTGCACGTTATTCGAAATGACCAAAATAAACGAACTCATATTGTATATATGTGATTTTATTAAGTTACATGATTTTTAATGTGCAATTTAATGCACAATATTGTGCATTTGTTATATTATTAATGTGCACTTATTAAACTCATTTATAATGCCTCACATATTGAAATACAATAAATTAAAAAAAATCTAAAATTGAATCAAGGCCTTTGAAATTGTCTAATTTTCAATATTCAACCCCCCAACTGAACATCATTTTCTCACTGCACACATATTCCCGTCACTCTCGGCCCGACGACCATGACCCGTAGAAAACATCAGATTGGCCCTCCCGGTCGCCGCAAGCTTCTACTGCACCTCCGGTCGTCGGCGAGGATCGCGATTCTGCACAGCGGTAGAAGAATACGGCCAGACTGCTCCAAGGATGGTCGAACCTATGCCGTCGTCGGTGGTGACGAATACACGGCTCATGGAGGCTGTGACTGTAACCATAGTTTGTGTGTGTTTGGGGGATGGGGACGGCGGCGGGCGGTGGCGGCGATGTCAACGTGACCGATTGAGCTTGTGGCGGCGATAGTCTTGCCAGCGGCGGAGCAGATTGCTTATGGTGGCTCGGCTCGTGACCTTGTACAGAGTTCAATTGGCGGAGGTGACGAGGTGCAGAGAACGCGAGAGATGGAGACACAGAGTGAGAGAGCTGACGTCGGAGATGGCGGCGACGGGCGGTGACGGGCAGTGGCAGGAGGATGGTTGTGTGTGTGTGTGGGGAGGGGGGGTTACGGATTTGTGGGGAAGATGAAGGGTTAGGTGGAGGTATTGCTTTTTGTGTTATTAAAATATTACCGTTAAATTTGTACAAAAGACCTCATTAATAATCTCTATTTACGAGAATGTCATCCGTAGTTCACAGGATCCAAAATTGATAGCTACATCCTGGCCATTGGAATTGGAGATCAAGTGGTCAATATTAATTCTTATTTCTTTCTTGGGGAATCATTCCCATATAATCCTAACTCCATATATATATATATATAATATAAATCACGTTCATCATTCAAATTGGCCACAGAACAATTGCCTCAACCACCACTCTTCATTGTTAATCCACAACCATACACTATAAATTGAAGAGTTCCCTTAGGACGAACAAAATCGAAACCGTCACTTTGCCAAGAGAAAGCAGTTTGTGTGGTACAAAAGAATTACGAATGAGAAGCATATAATTTATAGAGAAATTTCACACTAGTAAATAACAATGATTCAATAATGGGGTCCAACTCCAAATGAATATTAGAATTGCACAAACACAGACCACTGGTAAAAATAAGGACAGCACTGGAGGACCTAAGTACTGATTCCGATATAAACATCTTTCTGGTCAAAAGCATCAATTGTGCAGCTGATTTTTTCCCTCAAGCTGCTGCATATTCTCAAGATTGGTCCAAAATTCTTGCACCAAGTGACCAATTACCAATGGTAGTGAGGTTCATAAATATAAATATATAATATCTAAGTTAGTCGTCATCTGATCTATGTGGAGATTCCCTCCGTATCAGTTGCATAAGGTCTTGCACCACTTCAGACATCGGTGGCCTAAATTCAGGCTCAGCCTGCATATGAGAAAAAGATATTACATGAGAATTTCTCAAGTGTAAAATTGATCAACTGTTTGTAAACAGGCAACTACAAATTCATGTGCAATTTTGAGAGCCATAATTCACCTAGAATACTCAATTTTGATCTTCACATTTTCATACCACCAAAAATCTCACAATTTAGGATAAAAACACTGTTCTTGGTAAAATAGGCCCGTCTCCAAAAAAAAAAAAAAAAAAAAAAAAAAAAAAAAAAAAAAACATAAAGAAAGAAAAGGAAGAGTGCTTACTTAGTTGCATCCACTTCCTAGAATAAACTTATGCTTTACGTTATTACACAATTGGTAAGATTTACAGTTTAGAAAAAGCTTCACTTTAAGCTTTGGAACTTGACCCACAACTAGTCAGCAGAAAGCTGCAAATCTCGTGTTATAATTGGGCAGACCAAAGCATCACATCTACCTCAAATAAGCTGCCTAAATAATGTATGAAAAGTCCATTCCCCACCCCTACAATTCTCCCTCTATCATCACAAAAGGGAAAAATGAGAAGATGAAACACCATCAACTTACCAGGACACAACGTGATATAATGTCAGCAAAGTGTGATAATGATTTAACAGGATACTTGCCACCAAGAGCAGGATCAACCATTCTCGACAAAGCATCAATATCATGAAGTTGAGGGATTGCCCATCTTACAAGAAACTGCTCTCCACGAGTCCGCGACCTAAACGACAAACGTGCGAACGAATAAGAAAACACGGGCATAGTCGCCTCATATATTACTTAAAGAAAAAATCATAATCCATTACCTGTCATATGACATTCTTCCCGTTAAGAGTTCCAACATCACCACTCCAAAACTGTATACATCACTCTTAGTAGTGTATACTCCGGACTCAAACTCAGGGGCACCATAACCATATGTCGTGAGAAGCTGTCCTGATAACTGAGTAACCCAGGAAAGTATGTTTTAGCATGTATTCACTTGAATCATAAACTTGAAAAGAAAAATCACAGATGTTATCCTCATAATGTGCTGGCTTCATCAAACATCTTGACAGATAGTTCACTAAAACAATCTCAGAACCAAAGCTTCAAAGAAGGGAAAAACACATAAGCAATTGCTATTCTTACCTGGCTAACAGCTCCGGACAAAATCAAAGGAGCTAGACCACAATCAGAAACAAGGACAGCAAATTCATCATCGAGGAGAACATTTGCAGACTTGAAATTTCGATGGATTATGGGTGGTTCACAGATCTCGTGCAGATACCTTACAGAAACAGTTTTCACTAAGTTGAAGAAACTTGATATCCACTTATCAAAGCATCATAAAAATTTTAGATTTTAACATAAGACATAGATAACTAAAGAGAAATTTGTAAACATTGTAACAGCATACACTGAACTACAGCACAGACAAACAAAATTGAAAAATACACAAATCTGAAAATTCATTTCGACAGCTGCTTCATCAAATATATCCTTTCCAGTTCAGGCATGTGTTTTCCAGTCTACAGTATCACGAAGTTGAAAACGTATGAGTTGATAAGTAATAAGAGGTCAATATTATAGACAATAGTCACTGGTTCAGACAGAGATAGGTAGTATTAACTATTATTTGTAACATATGCATTAAAAAAATCTAGTGTTTTGAAGCATAATTGCATAGATATATATTTTACTCTAATGCTCTTGCAGCTCCAAGTGCCATCCTGATGCGAATATTCCATGAAAGATTTCTCTTGAATTCATCATCCGTGTGAAGGGCATCCTGTAGCGTCCCATTAGTGCAGTACTCATACACAAGAAGCCTCTGACCGTGCTCCGAGCAGTAACCCATGAGCTTTACCACATTTGCATGACGAATTTTGTCAAGACCATCAATCAGCTCCATAAACTGCTCGTCCTTGAGTTGGTTTGCCACTCTCTTGTCCAGCTTCTTGACCGCAAGCAACTACACGGAGATGGAAAAATAAAATGTAAGAAAAGATTATATAAGTTGAAAAATTAGATTTACTCAAAAATCATACCTGCCCGTGAGGAAGCTCTGCTCGATACACATTCCCGAGCATTCCACCCCCGACAAGATTGTCCTGTGAAAAGCTGTTGGTATACTGCTGAAGATATGCTATGGAGTAAGCCTTGACAAAAGTTCTCGGTCTGCTTGCGGCTGTTACAATTGGAGGAGGAGGTGGTGGTGGTAGTGTCGGAGGTGGTGGTGGTGGCGGTGGCGGTGGAGGTGGCGGCAGCATGCTGTCTATGTCAAAACGGCTGATGTCAAGGTCGTAAGGATTCCTTCGTGTGTCTGGTGACGGTGGCGCTGCTTCACTTGTCTGTTGCTTTCTTACATCTTCTGTTTGAGGTTTAGGTATTGAGCTGGCTACTGCTCTTTGCTGGTTTTCTTCCTTCGTTCGGGCAACACCAACTGGGACAGCTGAAATAAAAATAAAAATAAAAGGTTAAATAAATAACAAATCAACCTCCAAGTCTTGCATTTGTCAGAATTACCTTTGTCTTGGTGAGGGTTGGGTAGGACCAAGGGAGCAGTGTCTCTAGGATGATTTTCCCTGTAGGGTGCAATCTCGTGCCTCTTTGGGGCTCTGTTGTTGTATGCTTCCCTTGTTTTCCTGAGACATGGCGGCATGAAGAGAAGGATGGCCAGGATGAGAATTACAAAAGACAGCACAGCTGCAATGCATATCCACACAATCCTTCTCCTTCTCGAGGACCTTCCTGAGTTTGATTCCTCTCCTTCTGCCGGCGTAGATGATGGCCCGTATGCTGCTCTAGGTGGATGCCGACGGCCCGGTGCGGCCGGTCTTTGGTCCGAGCTTGGTGAAGGGAAAAACGGCTCATTCGGTGATTGTGTTCCCGGTTCTGATGGTGATGGGACAATGCTCGAGTTCAATGGATTCCCGTCGCTCCTGCTCCTCAGAATGGCACATTACCAATAAAAAACTACACTCCCTTGACATTTATTTTATAAAAATCCCAACTTAATCTATGTTTTTTTTTTCAATAATTTTATATATAGTATGTATGTACAAATAATTACAATTCCTTATAAAACATGTTGAGAATGTGATACCAAACCCTGAAATGATTTATGTTACCACGAAATTCGTAATTTTTGCTGATATTCTTTTGCAAACACTCTCGGAAAACTAGTTGGATAATTCTACTTGTACATTATTATCTATATATATATAATTGCTGGCATGTAGCATTTAATAAAACCTATTTAATAAAACCTCTAAAATTTTCCCTCTATTTTCGGTTACAAAATTTGTCATTAATTTTTTTACTTCTCACATTAATACATCTTA